GAACCCGCACACCGCTACTGATCCATGGCCTGTTGGGAACTGGGTCATGCAAGCAGTGGGCGAGCGCACGAAGCTTCATTCCTACATGGGTGGGATCTAGGTTGAGCAGAGCATGCAAAGCCATCCCACCACCCACCAATCTCCACCTGCTGCCACTATTAGTGGTCCATGGAGCCAGAAAGTTTAGTGACCGCTGTGTTAAAATATATGGATATGGCGACAGCCCTAATAAGGCCACACATAGAGTACTGCATCCAGTTTTAGATGCAGTACTATTAAAAAGATGTTGAGATTCTAGAAAGAGCGCAGAGAATAGCAACCAGGATGATTAGGGGACTGGAGACTAAAACATATGAAGAATGGTTACAGGAACTAGGTATGGCTAGTCTAGAGAAGAGAAGGATCAGGGGAGACATGATAGCAGTGTTCCAATATTTGAGGGGCTGCCATAGAGAGGAGGGGGTCAAGCTATTTCCCAAAGCACCTGAAGGCCAGAGGAATAATGTATGGAAACCAAGGAGAGATTCATCCTAGAAATAAGGAGGAACTTTCTGACAGTGAGAACAATCAACCAATGGAAGAGAAGTTTCCTTTGGAAGTTGTGGGAAGTACATCACTGGAGGCTTTCAAGAAGAGATTGGACTGCCATTTGTCAGAAATAGTGTAGGGTCTCCTGCTTGGGTGGGGAGTTTGGACTAGATGACCCATAAGGTCCCTTCCAACTCTGTTAATCTGTCAAATCTGTTAAAATATTTGTTTTGGTGCTAGACAAATAGATTCCCTGGTCAAACGTATGTCTTGTTTTACTGGAGAAGAATGCTAAGCCTTCCTAAGGAAGTCTGAAGATGATGACTTGACCAAATCTATAAGGAAGTCTAAACACTTCTTTACTTACTGATTGTGCCATTACTGAAAAAGGACTTCTTGTTTTAAACAATAAATGCCATTAGAACATAGAATATGAAAAGTATAAACCAGGGAAACCCTACAATTGAAAAAAAGAAGAAGAAGCACATTATATTGGACATTTTAAAAATAAGTGACCATAAGTAAAATTGCAAGGCTACTAAAATCAAACAATTATATGACATCCTATTCAGAATTGGAGATTATACAAAGAAAGCAGTGATACTTTTTTAAAAAAAAGAGAGATGGGAACCCAAAAATAGTAAATATTCAATGAGCTTTCAAGGGTCTATTATTATAGCCTTTATCACAAAAATATTTCTTGTGCGTGTCTATTTCCTGACTTGGCTTATCTCAAAGGGCTGGCACCTACAGAACTTAAAAAGGATTTTTTTCCCCTACAGGCAATGATTTGTTTATTATTATTTATTCAATATATATGCTAACCATCTCATTGTCAAGTGACTCTGGATGGCTTACATCATTTATTTATTTATTTATTTTATTTAGTTTGTCAAACATGTACGAGATAACAGGCATAAGTATAAACATGGACATAGACAAAGGAAATGGGTAAGAATAAATGGGGACAGTAGGAGAGGGATGGTAGGCACGCTAGTGCGCTTATGCACAGCCCCTTTACGCACCTCTTAGGAATGGGGTGAGGTCCACAGTAGATAGTTGAAGGTTAAAGTTATGGCAGTTTGAGAATGTAACAACAGAGTCAGGTAATGCATTCCACGCACTGACCACTCTGTTGCTGAAGTCATATTTTCTGCAATTGAGTTTGGAGCGGTTTACCTTGAGTTTGCCTTGTATTATTGCAGCTGAAGCTGAAGTAGTCATTGACAGGTAGGATGTTGTAGCAGACAATTTTGTGTACTTACATTTTGTACTTAGATTTGCATTGTAAAGATAAGTACAAAACATTAAAACATTAAATATTAAAATAAACAGACATTAAATAAAACCCAAAATATAATGGGGTGGAGATACGGGCTGGGGGGGGGGGGACTCTCCTTCCCAGTCCACTAACCACCTCCAGCATGGTGGTAAACCTCCATCGGGTCCCCAGACCAAATGGCAGAATCAGATTTTGAGGGTTTTTTTGAATGGCCAAGAGGGTAGAGGGTGAATCTCACCTTGAGGGGTATCTGTTTCCCTATTAATTTATTAATGTCTGATTTCATCTTGATTAAACAATTATATTCGATGGTGAGGAGGAGGAGGAAGAAGAGTTGTCACTTGCTGCTCCTATGTCCTTGCCTTGGATTGCCATCTCACAAAGCTTTTGATTGACAATTGAGCAGTGGCTTTTTTCAGTGCATTCAAAGTTGAACAAGGGAGGTTTTTTTTCCCCTCCTGTCTCTTTAAAATTTTATTTTGCATTTCTTATTTGAAGTAGTTTGAATTGCAAGTTGAATCTGGGTGAAGTTTCATTACAAAAACCTATCACAAATCATTTAAAACAGATGTATTTGTGCACCTTGTACGCACTTTGGGATGCCTTTAAATATTGCACACATCCTATATTCTTGGGAAAGGACAAGAGTCAAAGTTAATTATATATATATTAATTAAATTCAGTAGCCAGAAGTGAGAAAATGACTGAAGCTAAAGCTGTCTAGGTTGACACCATCAAAGTGTGCTAAGTCTGGGAACGAGACAGGATCATGAAGAGATTATTAACTGGCCAGAGATGGAATTTTAGCCTAAGGCATGAGTGGCCTTTTTAAGTCTCCAGGTATTTATTTCATCAGTCTTGAATACAGAATTTAAGAGCTGGAAATATGAGGTAAATTCATGAAGAAATTGGCTATATAGGTATAAGCTTCCAAAAGTTATTTTATTAAAGCAAAAATATGCAAGAACCGGTCATATGTAGCCTTGAAGCCCATCATCATCGTATCCAAATTCTGCCACTAAAATAAAAATTAAGGCAAAAATGGTGTAAGATTTTGCATAGATTTAATAGCCACTATGCAATCCCTCCCCAATGTGCAATCTGCCTGAAATGTAAATGTATATATGTCACAATATCACAACATTGTAATACTGCATCATCAATTATGACCTCTTGCTATCCAAAGTTGCCCATCTCTGCTATAAAATAGACAGTGGAGATCTGTACTCTCATCTCAAACTGAAGATAATAAAAATGAGCAGAATTAAAAGATAGTGGCATATCTTGCTCCTGGACAGGGAAATGATGTTCTGTCTCTTTTCTACCAGTTCTCATTCAGTTTGTTGACAAATAATTTGTTGAATAAAGTCTGTCAAAGGAGTTTTGAAGACATTCTTAAGGGTGGAGTGTGGCATGCATGAATTGTTGTCTTTTTCTGTATTCTTTCAAGAATCCTACAAGTTAACTGTTAAATTCCAAAACATTGTGGAGAAACACTGTTCACATTTTATATACATTGTTTATGTAGAGAGATCCTTCCATTTCTTTTTCATAAGCTATCATACTCTCAGACCCTAGAGGTGCTTTTTCAAGAGGCAACTGGTTTTTCTTTGAAGATGTTTCACTTCTCATCCAAGAAGTTTCCCCAGCTCCTGAAAAAGGATCTTTGGGACAACCATGACCTGGATGACTGAGAATCTCTGTTAAATATCTACCTCTTAGGAAAAAGTTTGTGAAATTCTACACAAGAACTAGCTACTACTAAGTAAATGGCTTTTGAAAACAAAGGGCCTGTGACTATAGGTAATTTGGATAAAAAAATGTGAGACAATCCAATTCATTTTCTTCTCATAGCATGGGCCTAATAAGCCAAATCAACTTGTATGTTGTTGTTTTTTTCCAATGGGTATGGGAAAGGAAACTTCAATTGAAGTAATGTGTAATTAACTTCCCCAAGTGTAAACAGCAACTATGCAAATCCTTGTTTGGATTGAGCAGCATATAAAGTGTAGCAAGCAAGCAAATAAATAACTTGAATTCTCAATTCAATCTGCAATTCTAATAGAAACAAACAATTAAATCCCTGTTATTCTTTCCCTTTCAATCATCCCTTTATTCCAAACTTTTCATTTTAAATAATTACTTAATTTAAAAATATTTATAATTACAAATTATTTTTTTAAAAAAATTACACACTGATTTACATGATTATCTCCTTACCTTGTACGATACTGAACCAATTAAAGTGCTGATGGAAAAATCTGAGCAAAGGACTTATTGCTGAAACTCTTAGCCATAACTTAGACCCATCCCTTTTTGTTCATTTATTTAAAACATTTATAAGAAATATGGGAAAGTCCTGGAGAGATGTTTGTCCCTCTTTAGAGTAATTTACATCGTACACCGAAGAATCAGTAAAATACTGAAAACAACAAAACAGTCAAATAGTCCTTGTACAATTCTTACTATTTTATTTGCTTGGTTTTTCCCCTTAATTTAAATTTATTTATTTACTTGACTTTATTTGCCACCCATCTCACCTGTTTTCCTCCAAAACAAAAGTTTTCTTAGTGTGGTTTTTAAAGAGCCGAGGTGGCGCAGTGGTTAAATGCAGCACTGCAGGCTACTTCAGCTGACTGCAGTTCTGCAGTTCGACTGTTCAAATCTCACCGGCTCAGGGTTGACTCAGCCTTCCATCCTTCGGAGGTGGGTAAAATGAGGACCCGGATTGTTGTTGGGGGCAATATGCTGACTCTGTAAATCGCTTAGAAAGGGCTGAAAGCCCTATGAAGCGGTATATAAGTCTAACTGCTATTGCTATTGCTAAACATTTTATAGTCACAATTAAATATTTTAATTAAGGACAGCACAGCTATTTTAATACATCAATTGCTTAGAAGCATAAAAATGTGTCAAAAAAACTCCATACTATAGTATAAATGTAAAATTATCATGATAAGGCCTGAGAACATGGAGGTGTCTTAGTTTTATACTTAACAGAGAACAAAGTAAATTGCAGGCAAATATTTGGGAAAGGTATTATTGAAAACGGGGCCACTACTGAAAAGACCTACGGTACTCTTTATATCTCTTCATATGAGACGTTCAGAATAGGATCACTGAAGGAAATATTAGGACATGAAACAGAGAATCAAAGAGAAGGAACCATAGTTTCAATCTGCTGACTTACCATTCTGTTCCTGAAGTTTCTGAAATCATCCTCTAAGATACATTTGATCATATCTGGTTCAGATATCACTATGTACATTCGACGACCAATGTAATACCTATATTCAGTTACAAATGAACAGAAGAGGAAGATTCCATTAGTGACTAAAGTAAGCAGACAGTAGATATATGGACTTCTGGGAAATAACAGCACTAAGTATGGAAGGAAGTCACAAGCATACACTTTCAAATATCAGAAGCTAATAAAATTTTAAAAGGATTTGCTTAATACCATTTCCCCAAAAATAAGACCTACAAATAAGCTCTAGCACAGTGGTTCTCAACCTTCCTAATGCCGCGACCCTTTAATACAGTTCCTCATGTTGTGGTTACCCCCAACCATAAAATTATTTTTTGTTTACCGTATTTTTTCAAAAATATGTGTTTTCCGATGGCCTTAGGCAACCCCTGTGAAAGGGTCATTCGGCCCCCAAAGGGGTCCCGACCCACAGGTTGAGAACCACTGGTCTAGCATGTTTTTACATGTGCACCTAATATAAACCCTACCTCCAAAATAAGCCCTACTTAAGAGCCTGCTCAGCCAGCTGCCTGCCCATCTGGTTACTCGTGGTATCACAGGCACAAGGTGAGGCGGGGTGGTGGTGGAGCTGCCCCATGTGCCTTGCATCAGCCTACCTCAGGACTCCCACAGCTAGGCCATTCACAGCCTAACCTCTGCTTCATGGCAGCAGAACCAGCAGCCATGTACATCAGGAGTCCACATGGCTGCTGGCCCCCTTCTTCTGATTGCTCGTGGCCACAAAAGAGCAGGAGGCTGAGTGGTGTCATGGTCGTGAGGTGAGGCAGTTGTTGGGAAATGGATGGCGTGGTTGCAAGGGCCCTGAGGTAAGCTGGGGCGCATTGGGCACTTCCACCACCCTCTGCCTCACGGCGGCAGCACTAGCTCATCACGCAGCCTGCCCACCAATCAGAAAAAAGTGGGTTTCCTGCACATGGGGGGGAAAATAAGACACCCTCTGAAAATAAGCCCTAGTGTTTATTTTGGAGCCCAAAAGAAAATAAGACCCAGTCGGGAAAACACAGGTATTCATCAGAAGTTTCCTGATCACTACTTTTATAATGTAGTAAAGAATCTAGTTTGATCTTAAGAAAAGCAATTTCAATTCCTGATTTTTCTTTTGGTTTATGTGAGTTGTATATCAATTTCTGGAAGCAATTGGAGTTGGAGCTGGAACTGGAGCTGGAGACATAGACAACAGAGTCCCTATTCTCCCTATTCCAGGAAAGCTAAATAAAATATTAATTAACATTTTTGCTATGTCCTCATTACAGCCACAATTGTAAAGTTCCCATGCCACACTAAAGCAAGATGTGATTTGTTTCTTTTTGTTGTGAGAACCCTGTTAACTGTAATATATTCAAGCAATCATAGATTTATACACAGGACTTAGTCTAAGAAGTGACCTCAACCATTGTGTTGCTTCTTTAGATCTTATAAATAAAGGTCTACCAACAGGGTTTAGCATAGTTCACTTTAATGTCAATCACACAACGAACACTACTGAATAAACAAGTAGTCTACGTGGCACATAATCCAAATTCTTACAAGAATACATGTAGCTTCTATGTAACTTCCCCCTTCCAACTGTAATCTCTCACTTTATCAGAGGGATAAAGTTAACCATTTCAAAGGCACAAAGTTCTTGACAGAAACCTGAATAACATGTGCTATATTTCTTTCAAAATATACAAGGAAGTGGATGTTTGATGACAGGTCTACCTGACCACCTATAATGAGGTTAATTCAGAGGTGGTATCCGGCAGGTTCTGACCAGTTCTGGAGAACCGGTAGTGGAAATTTTGAGTAGTTCATAGCACCTCTGATTGCTCCCACCCCCCATCTATTCTCTGTCTCCCGAGTCCCAGCTGATTGGGAGGGAATGGGGATTTTGCAGTATCCTTTACCTGCCACGCCCACCAAGCCATGCCACGCCCACACAACCACGCCCACAGAACCGGTAGTAAAAAAATGTGAAACTCCTCCACTGGGTTAATTGTAGCAATTTCTTCTGCCATCAGTAACCTTCAAGAAAGAGGTTGAAAAAAAATTGCAAACAGAAATCCTATCAAAAAAATGCAAATGAATTTTAAAATAGGCAAGGGAGATTGAGCAAAACATCTTTTGTGTGAAGATGCCTCTACTGAGCCAATCTGCAATCAAGAAAAGATGTATGAAGAAAAAGTGAAGTATAAAGCAGGCTACTACTTCCTTTCATCTCCAGCAACAGCTCTTACCTCAAACACTTTGCTCTGGGTTTTTTTTTTCCCACCAGCATATTTACAGTATATTTCACCCAGCCTTAATTGGTAGATAAAAGATGTTGAGACACGGAAACAACTGGGAGGATGCACTGGAGCACTCAGATGGAGGACAGATAGCTTTGGCTTTTAGAGATTACTAAGTACAACCTTATCACAGGTAAACACCACAAGTATTTTTTCCTATAATTCAAAGTAATTTGGTTTCCTTTCAAATTCTTATTCAGATCGCTTCAAAGGGATTTGTAAACTGTGCTCAAAAGGACATGGTGTATAGGTTTTAAGGAATATATCCAATTTTTAGGGAGTTTAGGCAGTTGGAAGAGAGTATTTGATTCTATCACTCCTCAAGTAAAACACCATTTTATTTGTCTTCATTTCTTCATTATATAGTATTAGTTATCGAGTGCCACATTGCTTTCCTCTACAGAACGCATTTCATCATCTTCCCCATTTCATCAACCAACAATTGCATGGTGCTGGCAAGAGTAACCAGTGGTGTATGCTGCCCCGCTCTCCTCACACACACACACACACAACACACACATACAGCAAGATTTCTACAAATGTTTATTCAACCACACACACACACACACACACACACACACACACACAAAACAGGTACTCAGAAAGGGTTCCACCACAAAACCACGTTCGACTAAAGGGCGCTTGACGAAACCGCGTAGCTGACGTCATCACAGCGCGACAACAGCGCGAAGAAAAAAGCACGCTGTGAACGCTAAACCTAAAATTAACCCCTAAACCTAACCCCCCTAAACCTAATCCTAAACCTAACCCTAACCCTAAACCTAACCCTTAACCTAACCTTAAACCTAACCCTAACCCTAATCCTAACCCTAATCCTAACCCTTAACCTAACCCTAACCCTAACCCTAACCTAAGCCTAACCCTAACCCTAACCCTTAACCTAACCCTAAACCTAACTCTAACCCTAAACCTAAACCTAACCCTTACCTTAACTTGAATCGGCTTGCTTTCAAAGTGCTATTTAAAGCGCCCTTCTTTCTCCGCGCTCACTGTTGTCGCCCTGCTGATGACATCAGCGACGCGGTTTAATCGGGCGCGCTTTACTCGAGCGCGGTTTTGTCGTGCCACGCTCAGAAAGCACTCTCAATGCACAGGTTCAAATTCTGAAGTCTGCATGGCAAGAGTCACTGGTTAACCGAGTCCAACGGGCATACACAAAGTCCTGGAAAGCAGTCCACAAGTCAAATGGTTTAGGATACATGGCATGAGAACACAAGGCATGGAACTGGGCACGTTGCTCCAGCAACACTCAAGTCCTTGGGGCGGGATTAAATAGGCAACACTGGTGCAGCCCTTCAAGAAGGTATCTTCTTGCAAGTAGTCTAGCTGACCAGCTTTGTGCCTGCCTCCACTCTGCTCTACATGGCCTTGGATCAGGAGTTGGTGTAGACTCCACCTCCTCCTCATTGCTAACAGGTGGCAGATGCTCTTGGTCTTTGATTGGAGCCTCCTGGCCAACTTGCTGCAGCTGTGGCTAATCTCACTCAACCTCCGCCTGACCAAGATGAGGCTGCTTCATCAGGCTAGCACTCTCCAACCCCGAACCAAGGTCATAACTCAGCTCCGCTCTTTCCTTTCAGCCTCCTCCTCCAAACTCACATCCGGAGAGGGTTCCAAGGGGGAGGATCCATGACGTGATTAACACAGCACCACCCAGTGTCCAGTTGCACATTAGGTTAAACATGAAGCATGCAGCCAGTCCTCTGTTCATATTTTTTTTATTCTGAAGTTTTTTATTCTAAAATTGACAGAAACAGTTGACCGCTCTTTAGGTTGTTGTTGTTTTTAACTCCGAAATACACTTGCAAAACTGCAAATCAGACTGTGCAAAGAAAACAATGAGTTAAATTTGCTTTTTAATGCACAGTATAAGGTAGAAAACAGGACGAACTCGAAATCTTCATACAGAAAAGCAAATATGACCCGTGATAGCTATTACAGAAGACTTGCGGAATGGGAGTTAAGAAAAGAGGAAAACACAAGTGCCTTCTAGTAGTATCTTCTACTTGTTCCAAAGAAATAGAAAAGGGGAATCAAAATGGTAATTGAAGACTTCAACTATCCTGACATTTGCTGGAAAACTCATTTAGGTGTGGGAGATTCTGATATGTTATAAGTTTCATCTTTCAGAAATTTCTCTTTTTTTTTCAGAAAAGGGAAGAAATACAGAGGTCAACTATTCAGGACATAATTCTGACTATCAGAGAGTAATTGGTCAATGGCCTGAAAGTGCAAAGCAGCTTTACAGAAAGTGGTCACATCATGTTTGAATGGAAGGTATTTAAGGAAGGAAAGATGGGAGAACCTCAGTCAGATACTTTGGATTTCAGGAAAGCTGTTTTAAATTGATTCAGGGAAGTGGGCAGCTAATGATGGGATAACATCCTCAAATAAATTGAAAAGGGACGGAAATCATGAAAAATTAGTTTCTAAATACACAAGTATAAAAAAACCTCCATGAGAAGGAAGAATTGGAATAGTTTAAATAGTGAGTTCCCTTTTAATCCAATAAACATCAACAAAAATGTATAAAAACAGAAGCATAACTAATAAGGCATATAGATGGTTAACCTGAGTCCTTAGATATGGAATCAGGAAAGTTAAAGGTCAAGTGAGGCCAGTGAGGACTGTGAAATATAATAAAAAGGATTTATTTCATATATCCAATACAAAAGAATCTAGAAGGCGATTGGATTGCTGTTGTGAAGGGAGAATAACGCAAGGACCTACA